CACTGGAACACATAAAACTATTTTAACTTTATATGATTAAAAACATACTTTACATAGTGTGTGTAGTAAGTAACATATGCATGATTTTACACTGATAGCCAGAAGGCCACCTATTCTGTTTTTATTTATGCATATACGTCCAAGCCCAGCTAACCAGCTGGGTTTCATGGTTTTGGGGTTTCAGTAGGGCTCAGCCCATTCACACAAACATATTATATCCTCCTCACTTATTAAGTCTGAGGGCAGGCCAAACTTCCCTTTGAACTGGAAGAAAACGGCTGAATCAGGAGTTCATTCCAACAGCAGAGCAGGAGTGGACTCCCTCGATCGGCCTGGTCCATTTGTTTAAAGAGAAGAAGAAGTAATAAAATGTCATATTGTGCATATTTTGTTTGGAAGGGCCAAACTTCCTTCTTTAGGTCCGCATTTTTAAAAAGCCCAGAGGGGTGGGTGTGTGTGTGTGTGTGTGTGTGTGTGTGTGTGTGTGTGTGTGTGTGTGTGTGTGTGTTCCTAAAACTTTCTGGAATGAAATGATCAAACTTAGTGGGTTAGTTTTATTTTCCCTTATCAGTGAGTGAGAGGACCTTGAGGTGACGTGTTGTTGTGATGTTGTTGTTGTCTTCAGTATCGTTCTTTACTCACAAACTAACTGAGCTGTTTTCAGTCAATGTTGAGGGTGTAAGGTTTGACGTTACTGAATTGTAAGGCAACAAACCTGTAACACCATCATACATGTCAGGAGCGAGACTTGGCTGGCACAAAATGTCACATTACATATTGTTTTCTAAATTAGGACTTTTCTCAGCATAAGCAGAGTCTAACCCGAGCCACTGCTTTAGAGTGAAGTCGTTAATAGAAAAAAATGAAAGTTTGAAAATGTGACGTGCAGCCACAGTTCAGAGGACTGACTGATGTGCTCTTCTCTACAGGCTGTTTATTCAAGCTTTACACAACACACTGCAGCCATCTACAGTTTTGAAATCAGCTCACATGGATACAGTGGACTCTGAAAATTACCGCAGGAGAATGCAGCGCTGGAACATGACCCACTCCAGAAGCAACAGGCTCTCGGCGGGTGCCGACAACCCCGGCCTGGAGCCCAGCTTAGCGTGAGAGCTACGCACATGCAGAGAGCTGCACGTGATACCTCTACTGATGCACAATCTCCCCTGAGAACAGTGTACCTGAAGCTGAAGGAAAGGTTTCTGTTAATGTGTCGCATTGACGTGTATCAGAGCCAGAACTGAAGTTTTGTTCAATAAAAGATTTTGACTCCAAAGAACACTGAATATAATTGGCTGCATTTTGTATGAATGAGAAGTATCTGCGATTTTATGAATAAAGTATGTGAAAGTATCCATCCATGTGATTCATTCAGTGTCTGTTTAAAAATGTTTATCTTGATATGATCTTTCTTGAACAAGCGCACTGGTGTCAAGCTCACACACAGTTCATGTGTCAGCTGTGCTGACGCCTTATCTTGTACGTCAGTTGGATTCTGATGAGATTTGGCAGAGTGCGAGAATCCTGTGAAGCTGTGCGGCACATCATCATTAGACGTAAGAAGTTAGGTGTGTAGGCAAATTTAACCGTGGTCTGGAAAAATTACTGCGTGAAGCATTTATCTGTCAAGACTTGATACTAGACCGTCCCGTTATTTTCTTTTCTTATGATGCTCTAATCAGCATTCAAAGGCTCTAATTAACCTCTGACAGTAAGACAAACACAGAAGCTGATCAGTTTCTCAGGTTTGACTGATCAATACCAGCATAACTAAACTAGTAACTAACTGGCAAACCAGTGAGGATGAACAGGAAATCAGCCAAAATCAGTATTTAAACATTTATTCTATTTTTTCGTCAAAGCTTTCAGCTCCTTGTTTTTATGTTTGTAATGAATCCAGACAGGTTTTCATCTGTCCTGCAGTTTAAACAGAAGCTCTCGTTTAAAATCAAAGTATTGATGTCAGTAATTGCTGCGCCACTAAATGAACAGATGCACAACCTGGAAACAAAAAAATTGATTTACATGTTTCAAAACAAATGTTTTCAAAAACATTTTAAGGATTTTTATCGTGAAGACTTGTCTGAACCAAACTGAATTTAACCAGATACACACACACACACAAACATAGTAACTTACATATAAAATGATATATAACTTATAAAAATAAAATATAAAACAAGCAAACACAGAAGTCAAAATAAGACATACATAAAACAATTATTATACTAAAGATCCAGTTTAAATACGCACTCTCCTCTTCACATTTGATGGATTCAGGTATTTAAAGTCACCTGCCTTCACTTCTTCTGCTCCTCGCATCTTCACTGTTCACCTGTTTGCCTCTCAGTCACATACATGTTTGCTGTCGTGCTTCTGCTGACTCATTCCTCCTCTTTCATACCTCGACCTTGTCAGACGGTCTTCCTGCTCCCAAATCTCAAGCATCAAGGAGACAGCCTGTATCTACAAACAAGAGGGGCTCAGAGCCAATCGTTGATGTAATCTCACCTCCATCTTGAACCCATCTGTCCCTCATACTGCACATCGCACTGAGAAGCCAGTATCTCCTCTGTGAATGCAACTGTGCTCTAAAAGCTTAATCCTGAATCAGCTGACCTTTGGTCATGTGCACTCACGTTGATTTATGTGTGAGGACTTTAACTGTGATTATGTTTTTTTCACATGGAGAACTTTTTAATATAATTCCACAGACATCCCTCTTCCTTGTGTTGCTCCTGCTAACCCCTCCCCCTGGCGTTCACAGATGACATGAATTGAGTTTCTTAAGTTTGTTAAATTTACACATTCTGTTTTTGTGTTTTTTTTTAAAAAATTTTTACCTTCACTTTTACTGTAAATTTCTAATTTTTAATTTGTAAATGATGTAAATTTCTTGCTAGTTTAGTTTTATGTCTATGTTTAGTTTTTTATGGTCGGGCATTGCACAGCAACAAGCCTTTTATTGCACGTCGTACTATGTATGATTGTGTATGTGACAAATAAAATTTGAATTTGAATGCCCATAAATCAATGACCTCCATTTCCACTGTGCTGTCACCTGTCAGAGCACCCCTGGTTTATCAGCTTCATCAGAAAGGAAGAGGATGAAAGAGACACAATGAAGTGATAAATATGATAGATGTTGAATTAAAAGAATGTCCATTACAAACAGCATGTTGAAAAGAAACAGAGAGGAGAGAAGAGGGTCTGAACAGAACAGAAAAGACGTCTGCAAGAGAAAAAATACAATCAGTGGAACGATGAGCAGAACAGTCGAGAGCAGCCAGAGAGGAAACGTAGGCTTTCCTGCCAGAGGGTGGAATAATCCACGTGTTTCAGTATAATTTAAATCCATTAAATTATGTTAACAACAATATCACATAAAAATATTATTAATAATATTACATTGTTATATGAGTAAATTAAAGTTACATGTGATTGGCCCAATTTTGCTGATTAGCTGTCCTATTTTATCTAAAAACTTCTCAAAAATGTGGGACAGCTGATGTTTCAGTTGCTGTATGGTCTCAACAGATCAGAGCGACCTTCTGATATTCAAAATGAAAAAAGGGACTTTGTAAGTGGCATGACTGTTGGTGCCATGCGGACTGGTCTGAGCGGTTTAGAAACTACTGTCATTTTTCTCTGGTTTACATTGGATTGTAAAGAAAGAGAGAATATATTCAGTTCTCTGGGCAAAAGTGCTTAGTTGATGCTGAGGGACGGTGAGAATGGACAGTTTGTTTCAAGCCCAAAGGAAGGCAACAGCTAACAAATATATGAATATATTCAAGACCTTGTATGTGATGACAAGGGTTTTAAATTCAATTCAGGATTTGGCAGGGAGCCAGTTCCTCACAGTTTTACTGGAGACTGGAGGAAGATGATGAAGAGGAGTCTCCATTTACATGAACAAAGTCTACAAAGTCAGAGTCTATTATATAGACATGATTCAACCCACTGCAGCACAGTACCATTAATATCTACAACATGCTTTAATCACTGTAATACAATATTATGGTCGACAGTATCGAACGCTGCGGTCTAGCAGCACAGAGATGAGTCCACTGTCAGAGGCCAGAAGAAGATCATTTGTAACCTTGTTGGTTGGATTTTAGACTTTTTAACTGACAGATCTCAGTGTGTGTGACAGTAAAC